CTGTGAGCATAAAGTGCTTCTTTTCTTAAATGAGGTTTTATCTTCTATTATCTGTTCTTAACCTATCTGAAGTGACTCCAGGAATAAAAAATAAAAATAAAAAACAAGACCTCTTTGATAAACTAACCCTCAAAACTCTTCTGGCTTCATTATAATTAACATAAAATTTGTGACATTATTCCTTTTAAACAGATTCTGAGTTTTTTAAGTGGTTGATTGTTCTCTTAAAGTATATGCAGCGTAATTCCCCAGCCAGTGCTTTTTTAAAAATTTGATCATGCATTATTACATTTCATTCAGCACATTAAACATTGATCAGGTTTCTCCATGATATGGGCCTGTGGTCTGTGATTAATTCATCTGTTTGAACAAAGAGAATATACTGATGGAGACAATAAAGGGCAAGCCAATTAGGGGACATTCTTCAATAACCAATAGCTGCTCGAAAGTTAAGTTTCAGACTGTGGGGCCTAAAACATACTTTTGAATCAAACTTTCAGGAGGTCTGAGTGTGGTCAGGTGTGATTGAGACAATGTGGAGTAGGGAAAGGACAGAGTAGGCGTGAGTTGGTGGGAATTCGGCCGAGTGTGCTGTCTTTCAGAAGGTTTCGCCAAGGCTGCAATAAAGCTGTAGTTTGTATCAGAATGACCGAGGGTTTTCTCAGGGGCAAGGAAAGGGTAATATGAAAGGGAAATTACATTCCATTCCATAAAGCAAGACTTATTAAAAGTCCAATTTTTACATTTTCCTACCTGAAAATCCCATTTATCTCATCTCTTCCTCCCTTTCTTACACAAAATTTTAAAAACACTTTCAGCATCTTGATTGTAGCTCTCTTTCTCTTTAGTATTGTTTTTTCTTTACTATGGGTTAGTTTCCTCTCTTTTGCAAATATTCTTGTCTCTTTCATAATAATAGTTAACAATTATTGATGTTTACTGTTCTTCAGACACTGTCCTAAGTGTTTCACACACATTAGCTCATTTAATCCATGCAATAATCTTATTATCCCTATTTTTAGATGAAGAAATAGAGTCTTCGAGATGTCAAGCGACTTGTCAAAAGTCACACAGCTCCAAAGTTTTGGATGTGGTCAAGACTCCCAGGCCCATGTTCTTGTGCTCTTTGCTGTAATCTATACCCATTATAAAACATTTAGAAGAAATATAAAAATAAAAATGTGAATTTTTTTTTTTTTTTTTAGAAAGAAGGATTTATTGAGAGGACAGAAAAGCTCCCACAGTGGGAGGGAAACCAAAGGGGTTGCCCAAAAATGTGACTTTTAAAGCACTAATAATCTTTACACCCACAAAGAACCAGAGCTAACACTTTGCTGTCTTTCCTTCTGGCATTTATTATGCATGATGAACAGGAAATATTTAATATTTAACACTTACTATGATTTGGTAATCACTTTTCATGAATTAATGTACTTAAAAATGTATAAAACCACAAATCTTATTTTAACAGCAGAGTATATTTTAATACCTATGAGAGTAGATGTTACTTGTTACTTTAAATTATATTGTCAAAGTCAAACAAATAATTCATTATGTATTCTTTGACCTTTCAGTGATGATATATCATCTTAGAGAATACTTAATTGTTTAGTGCAAAATTTAGGTGTGATCCTGTGAATACATGTTAATGGTGAAATATCCTTTCAGGTCTTACAATATTTTTAGCAAGGAATTGAACCAGAATTTTTTAATGAAATTCTAGAAAAAAAAGATAATAACCAATATTTAAATCTTGCAGACAATTCTGATCCACAAGGTAAAATTGCTACAGGTGAATATTGTAGACTATACCTGAAACAGCAAACACTAAAGAGGGAAACTATCATCTTGATTATATTGGTAGAGTGGGGAGAAAGTCGGTATGTGAATGGTTTTCTAATACAATGACTTAGAAATATGATAAAGGCTACAGTGACAAAATGTTCTTTGAGTTTGAAGCTAATAATATGTGTATATGCTTCAAAATGAATACAAGGAGTGGCTTTACTCACAAAGGTTATCTACTAGTAAAGAGAGCAAATTAATTTTTAATAGTTATGACCCTCTAGCCAAATTATATTTCAAGTAATTGGGAGGAAGTTGAATGTCCTAGTTTGGCTTGGCATTCTTTCCTCTCTATTTTGAGAATTTGAATGTAACCTCCCTATTTAAAAAATAATTTAAAACAATCAACTCTGTGTATCTTTGTATCAGCAGAGGCTCTCAAAAAAGAAAAACCAGATTGGAATCTTGCCTCTGCCCTCACCAACACTTTGACCTTGTCAGTAAAATTCCACTGTCTATAAAGTAGGGATTGATGCTTTATAAATTATTTAGTGAGAGCAAGTTAGTGACTAGATTGACATTGCATTTTGTAGGTCCCCTACTTTACATTTTCATTTTTCAGTAAATCCTTGAACACATATTTGACTCACTTATCAATAACAACAACTATCAGATCTGCAGTACGTTGCAATTTACACAACTATCTGGTTACTCCTCTCACCAACTCTGAGTATGCTTATTCTCTTATGGGAAACTGAAGCTTAAAGAGATGAAGCGACTTAACTGTGGTTACACAGTTGATAATGAGCTGGTGTTCAAATCCAGACCTCCTTATTGCCAGTTCTAAAGCTGCCTACTTGATCTGCATTTTCAGGAACAAGCATCTGATTTGAGCTGTGATTTCCTCACAAAAGCAATTGACAATTAAGGATTCCACCATATATATAAAAAAAAAAATTCATAGAGTCAGAATAGATATAGCCTCCAGAATATTTTTTTTTTTATGTCAGCCACTCCCTTCTCTGAAAAGCAGTATCTTAAAATATAATTAGTATTCTGAGCATGGAGTGATGGTAAAACATTATGTTTTGCATTATCATGAGATAGCAAAATTACCCTGTCTCAAAGGACCAGCTGCTGCAGGGCAGCTGGCACCCATGATGTCTACATTCTCAAAACTATTTTAATTGGTAGTTTCCAGTGATTTTTTTTTTTTTTTAGTCAGTGAGAGAAGAAACGTACGTGTAAACCTGTCAAAGCTATAGCATCTGTTATGGTGAAATGACATCACTGAATGTTAGGAGGTGAAATGTTCAATCTCAGGATTTTGAAACTGCTCAGTGTCTTCACTGAGGCAAAGGTTCCCATAGCTCACCTCCTCAAACAAGTATGGACAAAACAGATCAGAAAATTATTCCCGTACTTTTTATATAATATTTCTACTATGGTCTTATAATTTTGAATTGATAGGCCTAATATATATGAAACTGTCCATCACATTAGATGTATATGGTACTAAAATATAAAAAGAAGCCCAAATTCTGAATTAGAAAGACCTGAAATCAAATTCAAACTCTGCGCAAATGGCTGACAGTGTTAAACAAAGAACTTAACCACTTGGAATTTTTCTCATTTCTATAATGTAGATAGTCTTATTCCACAACATTTTTTAATAGGATCCAATAGTTAAAAATATTATAAATCAACAAGTATTGCACTACTATCAACAACAATTTTTTACTAGGTGCTCATTGCATAATTGAGTCTGTACTAAGGGCTTATATGTGCCTAATCTCATTTAATCTTCCCCCAAATCCTACATTATTATATCCAATATTCAGATGAGGATATGGAGGCTTAGAGGGGTTAAGAAAATTACCCATGTTTACTAACTTAGGAAATGGAGGACCCAACAACTGAACTTAGACTTATTCTTTCATCCATTCAACAAATTTTTGCTAAGACATAGATCCCTTAAACAAAATCAAACGCTGTGAAAGGAGGAAAGTAATGGAAGTTGGGTAAGTGACCAGTTATGTTCACTTTTTACCCTGACCACTGTGTAGGGAATGGATTAAAATGTAGCAAGAAAGGATCCAGGGAGACTAGGTTGTGGAGGCATTCCAAGTGAGAGATGATGTTGACTTCAACCAGGATGGTAGCAATGAAGATTAAGAAACCTTGATGAATTTCAGATATATGTTGCAGATAGAACTGAAGGTATGGTAGTGGTGGAAAAAAGGAATCAAGCAAGGGAAACCCCTCTTTTTACTCTGAGCAACATGGTGACCTGAGACGGATAACACTAGGATAGATGTGCAGAATGAAGGAAATAAAACTTTCTAGCCTCAAGCTCCATGTTCTCAATCATTATTAATGTTATCACTCATTATCATGAACATAAAAGAGATTTGAAGTCCATGGCTGTATAACTTTAAACTATCTGGAAATGCTTACGGAAAAGTCAGATTATTACTTCCCATGTGAAAATAGAAAAAAGAAGAGTTTGAGCTAGAACTTGTCGTAATTCTTAGTTTTTAAAGTCAGTACCTAGGGACAGGATTGTCTGAGATTCTCTTTGAAATCTGATAATCCGAACTACAATATTTACAATATTGAGATGAATTTGAGGTGGGGAGGGCAGGGAAACACTGGAAGATAATTTGTCAGAAAGCTAACAGATTTATCGTAAATGACTGAATCAGGTTTATTTTTTCTTCTTTCTACATTTTTATATTTTTCAGATTTTCTAAAATAATTCCATATTACTTTTATAATTAGTAAATTAAAGATTTGAGAAAAGTTAATCTTTAAATAAAGTTATATTTGTTATGTCCATATAGTCCATAGTAATAAATTCTGAGAATCACTCAAATTGTAACCTTCAAACCAATTAAGATAATGATATAATTGACAGATATCTTAAAATACATTTTCTTCTAACTATGTCATCTGTGATACAGTTCCAGTCAGAGTAGACTGGAGTTTAGGATGGGATCTGACAAGTAGAGTGATCAAAAATCTCTGGGAAGAAGCCGGGAAGGTTGAGGAGTTTAAGGTTTATATATTTCCTTCATTTGAAGTATCCTTACAAAATTAGAAAATTTAAAAATTTCTCAAACTCTTGACTTGCTCACATCTTAAGCTTGAATAATAATATTTTTAAAAAGTCTTCTTAGCCACTCCTGAATCTTTTCTCTTTTCCTTCCTTTCAGGGTCAATGATTGTATCTTGCGGGTGAACGAGGTTGATGTGTCAGAGGTTTCCCACAGTAAAGCAGTGGAAGCCCTCAAAGAAGCAGGGTCTATTGTTCGGCTGTATGTGCGGAGAAGACGACCCATCTTGGAGACTGTTGTGGAAATCAAACTGTTCAAAGGCCCTAAAGGTAATAAAATCATAAATGACTCACAATAAGACACAGTGGCAGACCATTTAGCTGAAGTTTATGCTACCAACAATGTACTCTTTTTTATCCTCTGACATTCAGTGCTTACCAAGAAATTTGAAATCCTGTGATAGTGTTTTTTACATGTGATAAAGGAAACCAATACTGTAAATATGAACTGAGATAAAGAAAGGATAGATTTATGTAGGAATGTCCTTATAAACAAAAATAGCAACCACCATTTATATTTTTCTTTTAATTTTTCCTGAGCCATCATAACTTGGCTAGTATATTAATACTGGTTTCTCAGATATAAATGATATACTCATTTAGCAAAATAGTAATGTAAATAATTAAAATCTATGCTAATATATTTATTTTTTATAACAGTTGTAATCTGTTTAACATTTTGTGATATTCTTACATGTTGTACCCAACAAATACCATGTAACATTTTATACTTGCAGTAATCAAAGTAAATTAAAATTTATTTTTTTGAAATGTTCACAAATCTTTTGGGATTATTGTAGTTACTCTGAGGAGCCTCATAAACAGATGACTCCTCATATTCCTTTTTAAAATAATCCTTTGAACTCTGTTCTTCAGAATGATGACATTTAATATTAATAGTATTTTTAATATTTTAGAAAAATCTAATAAGTAGCATTACCATTTTAAAATATTTTATAGGTTATGACTAGATAATCATTCTACTATTTGAGTATATCATTTCCCTTTTCTCTAAAATCTATTTAATTTTTTTTTTTTTTTTTTTTGAGTTGGAGTCTCACTCCGTTGCCCAGGCTGGAGTGCAGTGGCATGCATGCTCCAGACCACCCTAGCGTCGACCTCTTGGGCTCCGGCGATCCTTCAGCCTCAGCATTCCAAGTAGCCAGAGATACAGGCATGCACCACCATGCCCAGCTAATTTTTATTTATTTATTGTAGAGACAAGGGTTCTCCAAGTTGCCCGGACTGGTCTTGAACCTGTGGGCTCAGGCAATCCACTCGCCTCGGCCTCCCAAAGTACTGGGATTACAGGCTGAACCACAGAGCCCGGCCTATTTAATCTTTAATGCTACATGAGATTTTGAAAAATAAGAATACTACCTACTCTGAGAGACAGTAGTGGGTCCTACTTAAGATTTCAGGACCAAGAGTCCCACTTGACTGAGTTTAAAAGTCTGGTTTAGTCACTTACCCACAGAGTCAACTTGATAGGACCTATCACCTCATTATTAATTGGGTGTCATAACTGCAGCACTTATCCATACGGTTTATGAGGATTACACATGGAGCTGGCACATGGGAAGCAGTAGAGCCTGGTGGTTAAGACTGCAGACTCAGAGTCAAAGTGCTTGGATTGAAACCTTGACTCCATAGCTCTCTTGTTGTTTGTCGTTGGGCAAATGGCTTAATTCTTTTGTGCCTTAATTTTCTCATCTCCAAAATGCAAATAAAAATAGTATTTGTTCCTAGAGATGTTGTGAGAATTAGATGACTCAATTCACATAAGGTATTTAGAATAAGGCCTGGCACAAATTGACTGCCCAACAAATTTTAGCTATATATGCATGTTACTTGGAGTATCATTTACTATATATGGTTTTAGCCTCTGTAACAACTGTTTGGTAATGTAACTAAAATACTCACAGATCCCTCACAGGCTTAATTCAAGTGCATTAAAATCACAGAATTAAATCTGGAAAATTAAATAAAGAAAGTATTATCATACTACAATCTCTAGTGGCATGAAAGGACTTTCTACCCTTCATGTTTATTAAAGTCACATTTGCAAGGTGCTTTAAAGCTAAACAAAATGGCCAACACGTTATTTCTACTAAAATATATACTATATAAAGAAATTTGTAGCTATTTCTACAATTTAATTAGCTGCAATTATTTGGCATAGCCCAATGGTAAATACTAATTTTCAGCACTCAGCAAAGCAACACCATCCGTTTATAGGCCTCTTACTAGCTGAGTCACTCAGTAACCTCTTGCCGCCCAGCAGAGCATTTAAAGGCTACAGTTGACTAAAACTTAATTGTATCAGGAACTGATTTTTTTTTTTAATCTTCATTTTTGGTACCAGGGACTCCTCCAGCTGGTTTACTTCAGTCTGAAATGTTTTTCTCCTTTGAACCTGGAGTGGGGCAGGAATTGCCATAGAACCTGAAATGGGGAAGTGGGGAGAAGTGAGCATTAATCGACCAGGTATACCCAGGCAATAACCCAATGAAAGGACACAGTGTATGGGAGCTGGGGTTACACACAGGCTTGGTCTACTAAGATGAGACAACCTGAAAACTGATGGAAATAACTTTGCATCTTTGAAAGTAGGCTGCTCCCAAATCCCGATGGAGGGGTGTGAGACTGTTAGACCTGTTGGGATTATGCTGAGTCAGTCATACTTTTTTGTACTGTCACTATCCAGAGGTCACTGATGGGGATTTGTTTCTCTATATAAAGCTTATTGATTTACAGGGAGAGAAATAGTGTTAGTCATTGTTTAAGTTTCTAACATCTCTCCCAGTGCCTTAAACACAGGAAGTGCTGAATCAGAGTAAATTGAATAATTGAATTGAATTCTACACTAAATCTGATGGCATCTTTCAATCTTCACTTAGCACTTTATAATTATTTATTTTTGAATCCCATAATATGCAAAATAAATTTCTACCAACATTTAATTCATGCCATGAAAACTGTTATGCTCTCTGGAAGGTAAAGATAAATCAGATGTATTCTCTGCTCTCAAAACGTTCTAATGGGAAAGATATGTGCAAAGTCAACTAACTTGAATGCAAGGCAGAGTGAAATCAGTACTGTGATGGAGCTTGAGCTATGATTTCAATGGGGGGCAAAGAGGAAGATGTGATTCATCTCAACAAGAAGAGCCAAAATACTCCAGAGAACTTAAAACTTAACATGTACACACAGGTTCTTAACTGCCTCTCTTTGAGCACATGGATACTCTAGACTAAGCATCAACAATCTAGCCAACTGGGCTAACTTGATTCAATCATGTCCATGTAACATAGAGCTATTTGTATGTACATTACTTTAGCCTTTCAATGACTTAACAAATATTTCTATTTTGCTCTGTACCTGGCATAGAGCCAAACAGTAGGGATTCACAAAGAAAAAATAGTTCTTACTCTCAAGGAACTTACAGTCTAGAGGAGAAACAGCTATAGTATAAATTGGCAAAATTACTGTGAATAAATGTAAAATATTGTTAAGGGGAAATTAGTTAAACAATGATTCAAAGGAGATTTTGATAGGCAAGTGGCACTTAAGCTAAGCCTTGAAATATAAATTAAAATAGAAGTTTAGCCAGGAAAAGAGTGGAAGAGAGCACTGTTTATATGAAGGCTCTGGTGTAGAAAAGGTCTTGATACCTTCTAGGAGTATAATGACATGAAGTGCTGTGACTGAGGTAAGGTAAGCAAGGGCCAGGCCAGATCATGCTTAGCTTTGTCGGCCATATTTAAAGATATGTGATTATATTTAGATGCAATGGGAAGTTATTGCAAAATTTTAAGCATGGGACTGACATGATAAAAACTTATCACTTTTGGAAAATCATTCTGGCTACTATGAAGGAAATGGATTGAAGGGAGCAAGTTTGAGAACAGAGGTCTGTTAGGGGTTACTTGGAGAAAGTAGAGAAAAGTGAATGGACTTGAGCTATGTTGATGCCATTGCTGGCAAACTAGGTGTGGATGAGGCCCCATTTTCTAGTTGGAGTGCTATTTGTGATGCAGGGAAGAATATTAAGAAACCTCTGTGGAAAGATGATTAGAAATTCACATTTGGACATGTGAGAAGCCAGTGATGCAACTGAAATGGAGATCTCAAGAAAGCCGACTAGAGGATATGTCTGGAAATCCTGTCAAATTAATATGCGTATTTTTTCCTTTTTTGGAAATATCTGGATTTAGGGAAATATCTGAAAATTGACTTTCTCACTTTTCACCTATCTTTAATATAAAAAAATTATGAATATAACTACTTCAGTTATTTTGAAGAGTTACATGCATCCAGTAAATATACTTTATAGATATTCTTAATGCCCAGACTGTTTTTGATTTAGGAGTTGTTTTTGTTTGCTTTTGCACAGAACAGAAGGCAAACAATGTTATTCACTCCTGTTCTATAGATAAAATATTAATGAACTCTTTGAAAAAATAATTTGTGACAGAATAAATTTACTGTTTTCTATTCCATCTATTGCACAAGTTATTAATTCTGAGATAATTTTTGATATATGTGATTCTCTCTTTATAGCGGTGTTAATCTTTTCAATATTCAGATAGAATCAATCATCTGTTTGGTAATTTATAGCTGTGTAGTTCAGTAATGAATATTTGGGTAATATGCAATTCTGATTTAGAATGCCTTTTCTTAACAATATGTAAAAATGTATCTAACCTCACAGTCATAGATTTGGTCATTGTAAGCTGCTGGGTGTCTACATGTGGGCAGTCAATTGAAGAAAAAAGAGTAATCATATGTAGGAAGCAATGATTAGGCAAATCCATTTAAGCTCACCAGGCAACTGAAAAGCATGCAAAGAAAAGCTAAAGATGTATGTGGGTTCCCAGAAAACAAGTTTATAATAAAAGCCTTCCTAGTGACTTTCCCAAGAATACTTTAATTCATAACTTGTAAGGAGCTGTGTAATTAAACAAGTACAAAGCTATTCATTTCTGTGACCTAGCCCAAAGATGCCTAAAGCTATATAAGAAATTGGATGACTCTTTTAAGATGCTCTTGTTGCTTGAGAATCATGTAGCTGGATTAAGGTTAATTTCTAACAATGAAAATATTAAAACCACAGTTGTTCATCAGTATCCAAAGGTAGACTTGCTTGTTTTTTTATTTTAGCCACCTAACTCATTAATAAAAACTGAAAGCATGATTAAGTCTATCTAGTGACAAATTTCAACACCATCTGCTTTAATTTCTCCATAGATATTTTTTGCAGTTATCAG